CCCCCCAAATACGCATTATTATAATTATTATCATTCAGTTCAAATTATCTATCCCTTTGCTCGGTTTGTGTAGATTTTGTGCTGCGTACATTTTCTTACTTAATATGAAATCATTCCTTAAAAACCAACTCAAACATATAATCTAATTTGAAGAATACGAAAATCAAGCTTATATAGTCATTTTCAAATTAAAGTGAAGGTTAAAAACAGCTGGAATGTTAGTATATGGATTGACATTCATAATGAAGAAGAGGGAAAATCCAAAGTCTCATGGTGCCCTCATCTTTCATCTTTTATTAGCTGCTGTTATTATCTTTGCCGTGCACACGATGTACTCTATGACTAAAACACCAAATATTACCTCGGAAATGACATTAACATGCCCTGAATACCAACGATATTAGAAATTCTCATATTTCACAATAGATCACTATTTGATTGTCAATAAGCCTTTATATACGCAGCAAAAGGATTGGCAAGTCAAAATTGTAACTTACATGACATGACTTAAAATAATAAAAAAAAATAATACAAATAATACTCATTTTAATACCATTCATAATCACAGTACTGTAGTTATGGTGGCTTTTACGCTTAGCCCGTCCGTCTGCTTCGAACTGGGTTGAAATGGTGCCTGCGCCCTGCAGTTTGCATGTGCTTGCGTGGCTTTTCTCCACAAATATGCACAGTAGCTTCATTGAAGCCGTTCAATTTCCCATATAGGTGTGAATGGTTGTCTGTCTGTGCGCCGTGTGATTGATGGCCGACCAGTCCCAGGTGTACCCCGCTTCCCTCACCAAAATGTCAACTCACCTGTGACCTTAATAAGGACAAATGGCGTAGAAAATGGATGGCTTTTTTTTTCCCAATTCATCACTTTCATTGCCTTTTTTTTCCATAATTAAATCACATGGCCTTAATGTGAGGCCATTTAGGTTTGAACTGAAATCACGAAACGTGCTTCCTTGCCCTTTAATAGAACCGTGAAACTTGTTGATGGAACAAAAGACAAAAGAACAGCCAAATGCGAGCATGCACACCGGGGTGAAACGCGGGCGAAATGACACAACGGATTACTCATTGACACAAGTGTTGCCAAATGAGGATTAAAATAGTGTCGAAATGGTTGCCTTTCCGAGTGGAAAGCCTTCAGGTTTGATTTTCAAGAGTTCAATTGTTCCTCTTTCATTTCTGGAGCTGTACCAAGAGAAGGAGAAGGTGAATTAAGGACTCAGAATTGCAGTGTTTTGGGGCATTGGCTTTGTGAGGGGTAAAAGGTGAAGGCAAAAGGCCAATAGCAGCACATATCCACACAGACAAAAAAAAAATATTCACACCCGTGCACAGCTATTGACAATTTAGAGTCTGCAATGAACTCGCAAGGATGCAAACTCCAAACAGGAAAGCTGACGCTGACAATTGGACCCCCCCCCAACTTCTGAAATGTGAGGTTGATGTTCCCAGCACTACTTCGCTGGCTTCCTTTTGATAGCCTTTGCGTTTTCTTTATTAGTCATGCTAAAACCAAACAGTTAAAAAAAAAGGCAACATTTTGTAAGTGCTCCAAATGAGAACCCGAGCCAGATTTTGGGCACCACTAATTTAAAACAACTCCACTGCTAATATCAATAACTTTGCCTCTGTTATACACGCACACACTTAAACTGGTGGGGAGAAAAAAATAAACATGTCAAGGTAAAGTGTGGCCATGTTAAGTATGGGTTCTAAAAGCCTCTCGGACATACTGTAAAGCCACCTCAGATAAGGTAGCGGCAAGGGAGAGAGTGATTTAGCACTTTTTATGTTTTTGCCGTTTTCTCTCGCGCTCGCTGACTCGCTTCACCGACTGTTTTTCTTATTTCTGCCGAGAGAGCTCCTCTGGGGAGAGATTACACGTGTAATTTTCTCCAGCGAGATGTTTAAGTGACCTCCCCCTACATAAATAAAACATTTGTATGAGGAGCAAGAGGGAGACGAAGGGGGGAAAAATATTAAGTGAGAGTGATGAACTATGAAGTCCTTTAGGAGGCCAAAGGGTCGATTGAGGTGGCAAAACCTGACAGATTCTGTTGCAGTGCCGCTCTTTAGCAATGCGGATTATTGGCTTCGCTCGTAAATTACGCACAATAGTCTGCATACATCATCATCGTCCCCTGACCCGCTTACTCTTTATGAGGATGTGTTCAGTGGCCACGTTAGCGCCCGCGCCGAGGGTCTCTGCCCTGCCCTGAAAGAGGACGAGCAGCAGCAGCAGGAGAAGGAGGAAGAGGCCAATGCCAAAAGCCGCAGGTATACACACGAGTGGTCAACCTCTGATTTCTTTGCATTGGAATCATTGTTGTTCGTTGCCATTTGACTTCTCTTTGTCATCATTTTTTCTTCAAAATGAATGAAGAGTATAGTGATTAACTTTATACGTGACCCAATTTCATATTGTGATGAAATGTAACATTGCTATAACGCTTAAGATGGGCTATTGAAACTAGTGTCAATGTTGAACTAGTTACTATCCTTTTAGCAAAATAAAGGGTGCAGCAACACACATAGACAGACAATATAACAATGTTTTTATTAACTGCAAAAACAGATGAATATTATGCAGATAGCTGAGTCACGAACTATTCACTAATTATTATGAATGGTTACATTTTACTACCTGGAGGCCAAAGCACACCAGAAGGAGCACAGTCATTTTCAAGCAAATAATGATACACAAATATATATATATTTTTTGTAATTTAGCTTAATTATGTTATTTTTATGTGTTTCTCAAAGTTTCTCAAATCCACATGGTGTTGCCTTTTTGTTTTTTGCGTCCTTCGCTCTATTGTACTGAGTGGTCAGGACAGAGATGTTCACAAAACTTTCGTTGCCACTGCTACTCGATGGGGCAGTTCGTGCCATTTCCTGTCATATACACTTGTGGCGTTAAGCTCACTGAAACAAAGTCTCACTCGATTTCTTGCTTGGTGTCATTTTTGAAAATGTGTATGTCCACTTTAGCCACATTGTATAGAGGAGCCAGGACAGAGATGCAACACAAATGAATTGGGGCCTTCAACTCCAGTTTAGGGATGACATCAGCGCAACTAAATTGGATGTTAATTGCTTTCCTGTTTGAATTTGTTGTTTTTTTTTTTTTTCCAGAAAAAGTCCAACATTTTTTGTGTGAATGTGGATTTTGACCCAACAAAAATCACACACACATTTATTTTTTAATGGACCATGCACTTGCGAGAAGGAATAAGAAGAAAAATATCGTTTTGATTTGTTTGGGTTCTCAGCACAAAAGGTGTTATTACAAACACAATTTGTGAGGAAAACATTAACGAGGCCATTCAAACGAGACCCCTAAAGATGACAATATTAATGCCGCTGATGGAGATTGATGAAGTGTTTTCTTTCGGCCCCCTTCAGAGGGGGTCCGGTGAGGGAGAGATGTTTATTTACATTTGCCCTTTTCAAATGATCCCTTTCTTCTCAACATCTGCTCGACATTAGCACACAGATATGAGTCCTAATGACCGCTGTAATAAAGCCTGACACACGCACAAACACACACAGACGTATGGTACCGTAACAGTGTTACGGTACCATAGCACACAGTTCACATGAGACATTGCGTGCTTCTGTACCTTCCACAGCCAGGTTGTACACGACAGTGGACTTTCTCTCATCTCACATTCTCTCACCCCAAGTTATCAGGATGATAACTTGGGGTATAGCAGCAACTTCATGAAAAAAATCGTTTTGTTTGTTGGCAATTGGATGTTCAGGCATGCGCCCATCCTGCGCAACACTGCGAGACCAGCACCAAGTCATTGTGTTTTTAAATCAAATGACCCACATGCAGGGAAATGTAGACTTGAATGGGGGTTTGTCATAGGTGATGTTGCATAGCTTCTTCTTGTGACTGGTTCCAAGTCAATCCTTACATCATTCAGAAGCTCGAAAACATTGCTGAAGACATGCCTTGTCATGCAAATTTTTGGTTCTGGCATTTCAATAATGTTCACATGAACGGAAAAAAAAAAAATCGGTTCACTCCAGCCTCTCATTTTCCCTGCGCCTCTTCGTCATGGTTACGCGCAGTAGAGCAATTTACACATTTACATTGCACTGCACCAGATGTAATTGTGAGTGTACAATTAATACCTATGCAGAGTGGTGAACTTCTTTTTACACTTGCCAGTTCATGTAGGAAAACGACATTCTTACAATTATTTTTATTTGATTTTTTTACACTTGCATAGTGGTCGGAATGCTAAAAATCACCTGTATGGTTAAAAAGGCTTCACGATGGCAACAGTTGACTCTGGGAAGGATGATTACAATTATATTATGTCCTGTGGGAATAGATGTTAAAAAAAAAAAAAAAAAGATGAAAAATGGATCATAGTGATTCCACTGTTAAACACAGCCAAATTGAAATGAGATATATTAATGCATATGCCTTTCATGTTCGTGCCCCAGATGATTACAAAAGAAAATTGAAGTGGTGGCTCAACCGTCTTCAAAAAACAGTGGCTCCAAGCCAGTGGGAGTGTGTTGGCTTGCTGCACCCTGATTAACAGTGTGCTTTACAGCCAATAGGTAATCTCATCAGAGGGAGGCTTGAAACAGATAAAGACCACCCCTTACTCGCAATTCCCCCACTCTACCTTACCACCGTTCCCCGATGAGTCCTCCCATCCAACACACCGAGGATACTGGAAGGAGGCTCAAGACGGATGGGGCCCGAGTCATATACTGACCTCCTTTTTCAATAAAAGGAGACTTTTCTGGTCTGATGGCTGATTTGTTGGTCGTGCATGGAAAGGCCATCTGGATGGGAGGATTCAATCGTTGCCGTAGGTGAGCATCACCTGCCAGTTCAACTCCTCCTTGTGAAAATGCGCTCGATCTTTGGGTGAGAGGTGGGTTAAATCACAGGACACACACTGTACAAACAAGCAACCATTCACAGTCACATTCACGTGTCCACTATGGACAATTACGGTCTTCGCTGAACCTAACATGCATGATTTTGGAATGTAGGAGGAAGCCAACAGGTAAAAGCAGAAGTCAAAAACCTCAAAAAGTCAAAGTGGAGTCAACCAATCCTCATCATCATGTGCTGGCTCATGAATATTCATCAAATCTTTTTTTTTACATTTTTGCTTTTTCTTTGGCTTTGTGTGAACAGAATGTTCTACATAATTATTATACAGTTAGTCACTTCTTTCATACTTTTATGACGGTAAGAGATGTCAACAATAACATTTTTGTCACACCAAAAAGCCTTCAACACATTACAACAAATAATTAATCATAATCAATACTGAAATACATCTCTTAAAATATGTCAATTGTTTAAAACGAAATACAATGACTATCATAGAAAGAACAACACAAAACCAAGACAGGTGGACAGAGTTTCGGTAGGTGCTGCTATTTTGGTTATTGCAATCTGACACGTGGTGGTATTAGTAAACTTGACCATCCTACTGAGTGTCATCACTTTTTTCAAGGGGGGGGGGGGGATTTCAAGTCGCAATGCACCCGGTGATTAAGTGAGGCCCGGCATGTATTACATCAGAAGCCTCTAATAATTAAATTGGGCTCCAAATGACCACTATTGACTGTGGCTCAAGCCAAACATGAGCTTATTTGCAGTCAGAGCAGTTCATTCTGCACTCCAAAGGCTTTCTACTTGGGCCTCTTTTGTGGTACGCTGAGGAAGAATCCACAATAAATCGGTGAAAGAGATTCAACTCGAGTAAAAACCTCCTCTCTTTGTTATTTGTGTGCGTGTGTGTGTGTGTGTGTGTGTGTGTGTGTGTGTGTGTGTGTGTGGTTCACAGTGAACGCACTTTTAAGTACAGAAAGGTGTGATTTATGGGCTTGTCACGGGAAGCATTGTCGAAGAAAGCAATCAAAAAGCACTTACTCGGCTCCTCTGAAGTGACTGCTTTCTTGCTGGCTAATTTGTGTAACTCCCATGGAGAGGCTGGCAAAGGGTTTGATGAGGCATAAAATGATGATTAATGAATTTATTGGCTCGCCGCTCATCAAGCGCTTGTAGTATATACACTTCTCCGCTCTTTCTTGGGCTTGCTAATATGGACAGCAAGGCCACAAAGGGCCAGACGTAAGATAATGTCACCCCGCTCGTCCTCCCTTACGGCTGTTAACCTGATTGATCCGATGGGCATGAGAATGTGGGCAAAGAACAGCACAAAGGGCAGTTTGATGTGACTGTAAGACTGGGAATGTCAGTAAAGTACTCCTAACCCTCTTTCAAAACACTTTTTTTTTTTGTGTGTGTGGTAAACAGATCCATGCTGCTTCCTCCACTAAAACAACCATCCATGGCTTATATCTACACCACTGCTAATTTTAGCTGCTCACCTTCGCCATTTAGCCAAGAGATTGAGTAAACAGTGGATCATTGACTTGATAGATTCATGTCCTGAGAATTCTCAACTCGACTTGCATATCCAATTGTCCTCATTTAAACTGACTGAACTGCTGTGAATTTACCCAGAATCCACCAAAAAAAACAACAAAAAAACCCCACCAACAACAAAGAATTTGATCCAAGTTTTAAATAAAGAGAACGAGCACTGTTTTAAAAAAAAAAACATAATTCAAGAGAATTTAAAAAAAATAAATTGGTGTTGCACTGTATTTCACAAGCATTGCGCAAATCAATTGAAAAATCTGAAGAAAAAAAATAATAATTCGAGTGCATGCACATACTTTTTCATGGCACTGTATTAATGTCACAGTAGTTATGTTCTTTCAACATTCACATGCAAATATAATACAAAAAAAGTAATGATCTACATATAACATAAATACATCCCAAGCTGCATGAGACGACAGATCTTTATGATGTAATTTAAAGGGCACGACAAGTGCAACACAATATCACTTGTTCTAATGAGTCAACCACAAACTGGAAAAAAACAAACATGCTCCGTTGTACATTATGTTCACAAAAATGGCTGATAGGGTGGGCTGTGTGTGTGTGTGTGTGTGTGTGTGTGTGTGATAGAGAGAGAGAGAGAGAGAGAGAGAGAGAGAGAGAGAGAGAGAGAGAGAGAGAGAAAGTCTCAGTCACGATGGTGTGAAAAGCACTCCTGCATGAATAAAGTTTTCTGAATCTGTTTAAATAAGCCCATCCTGCCCCCCAGAAGTATTGGCATCCTGTTTCCGCCCGATGACACCGTCTCACCTTCTCTCTACTCAAATATGCTTGATTGAGTCCTCGCTTGTTCGCCACTGCAGCTCAACTCAAGAACGCATTGTTGCAACAACACACACACACACAGACCTCCGTTCACCCCCTCACCACCACATGCACACAAATACCCCCCTCCCCATCATCATCTCCCTTAGAGATCAAATCCCTTTCTTCATTCATTAGGAAGCTCCCTTAAATACATCAAAGAGCTTCTCGGCTGGCACAATAAACCAATAAAAGCAATTATAAACCCATATCTTCCAGGCACTCTTCATCTCTGGGGTGTTCACATTAGATAATGAAAGAGTTTGATGACTTGAGGTTTTTTTTGTTTTTTTTTCCTGAGAAAGCAGCCTATCCTCGGATGTATGCATGCAGCCATAATTTCAAAATAACATGGCCGTATATCATAAACTGTGAATTTCTGAGTCAAAATTAGAAGCCATAAGGAGCCTGCAATGCTTAGGTACTCAACTGCAGAAATACCAAGCATCTATGAGCGAGTATCTGTGGATTTGGGGTCAGAAATGCATTTTTATAGTCATATTTTAGGAACGCGTGAAATCGATTGTACCAAAAGTTGTGAGGTTGAATCAAAATTTTGTGGAAGGATATATCTAAAAAAAATCCCCCCAAATTTGGCAATCCTGACCTGCATCATGATGACATTACAAACGCGACTTCAGCTCACAAAGCATCAAAAGGATTATCTCCGCAAGTGTTTATAGTGTGATTCCTCTTCACAAAAAAAAAAAAAAATGATGAAGAGGGACCCAACAGAATCAGATGTGATATTCTATTACAATTTAGTTAAACATCACAAGTATTTATTTCAACCGAAACTTGTAAAAGGATACTTCAAATAAATAAAAATAAAATGACATGACATGTGATGTCACGTAAAACTTTGGCAAGTTTTACGTTTTGATTTTGTCTCTTAGTGAGAGACAAAATAATTAATATTGAAATCCTGAAAAAAAAGGCTTTCATTCAATCTAACAAGAAAAAAATGCCTTGAAAAAAAATTATATATATATATATATTGTATGTAAATTTTTTTTGGTGTGTGATTCCACCGCAAAAGAATTAAACATGACAATAACCATAGAGGAGGAAATTAAAAACTATGAATATAGTAATGGGCCTGGCTGCTCGCTAATATGAGCGACAAGTAAAGATCAATTTCATACACCAAGTATCTCTCCTTTCTTTGCTTCTTCTTTTTATTTTATTTTTTGTGGATCATTTGATATGTTTTTGAAAAAGCTGCTTGTACTCTTTCAAGGATTGATGTACTCCGTAGCCACAGCTTCAAAATCCTGAAATAACATGGCCATATATCATAAGCCCTGACTGGGAGTCAAAATTAGAAGCTATAGGAATGGCGCGGTGCTTCAAGTGTTCCCTGTTAGCGGCTGTGTTGGCTCTGATAAGCTCACAGGGGGTGGAAATGATTGTAAAAATAGAATAGAAAAGTGGAATGATCGAGCATATGGCTGTGACGATCATCTACAGGGTACAAACGGTTCCATGATGAAATTATGCAATGAAGATGTTTATCAGCCATGTCATCTTCACGTCAATTTCTACATAGGTTAAATAACTCAAGGATAATTTTGTGTGTGTGTGTGTGTGTGTTCCTTTTTTTTCAAAAACATTGACATGGCGGTCAGCAGGTTTACGGGAGTGTTTCACCGGTAAGTTATAATCACACTGTTGTCAGTGAAAATCCTGAAATTTGAACAATTTCTTTTTTGACGACTTGATCGATTAGGTGGTGGGTAGACCTATACAAAAAGATGATGCTAGGCAATTAGTTTTTTAAGATCAGATAAGATAAGAAAACATTTATTTGTCTCACAATGCAGAAATTCCCATGATATCATTCTTATCGTTCTTTGACTAAAAATGAACCAAAATGTGACAACCCTTTTCAACCCTCCAATCAAAAATTCCAATGACACCCGTATTACCTTTGTATATCTTGCGCATTGATTGTATCCTATCTCACGATAATTTAGCAGGACGCAAGGCAAAATGTAAATGAATGTGTTTGCCTCCAAGAGGGACAGCGGGGGCATTCAGTTATGCAAAGTCAGAGAGGACCAGGTCAGTATTTGAAGAAAGTAATTTATTTTGGGGTACACTTGTATAGGCTAAACAGCGACGGTCATGGGAAACTTCCACGCTAAAACGGTAACTGTTCATAATTCATCGTTCTTATCACTATTGCAGAGCAGTTGGAAGCCGAACATGTTTCCACACGGCACGCGATTCAAGTTTGGGCTTGCTGCACAGCCGTAAGACAATAACAATGTGTCTTTCTTTACGCTTTATTTATGAAGAGATTGATTGAGATTGAATGGTTCGTTTAGTTTAAGGATTTTTGAACAGTTTTTTTTTTTTGTTTTTTGCCACCACGGGTATGCACTTGCTTCATGACTGCAAGACTCTGCCGATGTGTATTTTATTTGTCATTTGTTCTTTCTAATTAAAGGGATAATAATATGAGCCAGTAGGTTTGAAGTTTGAGCGAAACATAACAAAGAAGGGCTGTAGAAGCACTCAAGCTGTGAAATATCGTCATTTTTACTAGATACAACGTTTGAAGCCCATACAAATTAATTTTGTTGATTAAAATATATCATTTTTTGAGACGCAGCACAAATAAACTAATTGAATCCTAATAGTGCTTCACTTTTTTTGTGGTTTGCTGCTACTACTATTACAGTGACAGACTGTTACTTTGAATATGCCGTTGCAACAATTTCTTTGGATTTTGAAATGATTTGCTCCGAAAGAGAACAAACGGTTTTAGATGTAAGCATCAATTCAAGTTGGCCCCCTCCCGCATGCTTGTAAAATCATGACAATGTGTATTTTGTACTCACTTCGCTGTCCCCGAGGACGAGCATAACAACTCTTTGGAGTCCTTGACCGGTTTGACAGACTCTAAAATGTGCCGACTTCATTAGCGGGTCAACCACTTGGGTGCTTGCACTGTCATTAGTAAATACAGGAATATTGACACACGCATATAAAAACCTTATGCACATTATGTCATCGACTTAAACCGTTTTATCTACAAGACGGCGTGGCCATGAGCCGATGCGGGGTCACCCAACCAATTACAAGTGTTCAACCCCGAGCAAGTCAATACCGAGTAAAACACTGATTCATTATCAAAATTGCAGAAGTAAAAAAAAAAAAAAGCAAAGTAAGAGGGAAGTTAAAAAAAAAAAAAAAAGATTTATGGATTGGCATAATATGCGTACAGTTAGACAGTCCCGATTTGTGTGCATAATTGCTTTAATGTGGGCTATTAGGCCTAAGTGGGTATGATTTTACCGTCTGCCCTACATTCAGGAACATTCACGCTGTGATCAATACTTATGATTTGTTAGTCAGTGGCCATCGATAGTGTGGCGTGGTCGTTTAAGCATTTGACCTTGTCTCGTTCTTGAGGATATTATCCAAAGGGCACACTGTTGCTGGAGGACAAAGAATGCGCGCGCACACACACACACACACACACACACACACACACACACACACACACACACACACACACACACACACACAAACTTGGTGTCTCCCGATAATGTTAAATGTCTAAGATGACTCAGCGGTCAATCGAATTAGTGTTAAGGTAAAAACAACTTTAACAACAGTGTATGTTCTGAACTCCTGTTTCCACGCCGGTTTAGTAATCCATCAATCCATTCATCCATTCCTTTTTTTCATATCGCTTACCCTCAAGGGTAAAATGGATCCTATTCCAGCAGACTTTGGGAGAGAGCGGATAAGCTAATCGCGGGGCATATATGTAGACAAAATAAACACCTGTGGGCAATTTCGAGTCTTCAATTCTTCAGGCAGCAGTTCAAACACTACATATACCACCGGCACTTCAACATTTTCACCGAGCAATCAAGCCTGGGCCACTTGCAGAAAGCTAATGCTAATTGGTGCGCCCAAAATAACTAAACGCAGCTCTGCTTACCTTTTGGCTTTGACATTCGTGCTGGGGCATCATACCCATGTGTGATGTGAATGTTTCTGCATTTCAATGTTTCAGAGAGTGAAATTGTTTCAAAGCAGCTCGGGAATTTTGACCAGCGAAGCTGATGACACGGGTTGAAAAAGTAGGTGTAAGAAGCGATTATGTAAATTAGGAGAAACATTCATCAGAATAGGAATTGGTTGTTTAATTTCATACTTGATACGTGGACACACTGCGAATGGATTTGGTTTTTTATGTGGTTTTTTTGGTGAATAAAACACTGTCAACAATGCTCTTCACCTCGTGTCAAAGTGACACAATCATAACAGATTCAACACTAAGCTTGAGTGACGTAAACAAAATACCTCTCTGCTGTAACACAAAGTCAAGAGACGTTATCATGCGCTGTAATCTTGAGAAAAGTTTTGTGTTTTGGCAACAGACAAGCATGACACGTGATCTCTGCCCTCCCGAATCAAAGAGCAATGACGTTTCAAATGAGAAGAGGGGTCTGTTTTTGATTCGTGTGTGGTGTCATGTTTTTTGGGTTTTTTTTACAGGCGGCGATCGTCACGCTGACTGGATTACCCCCAAATACAAGCAAAAGAAAAAAGTGGAGTATCAAACATTACAATAAATATTGGATCTTCTAATCATGCTGAAACGTTTCGGGTTTTGCATCAAAGTTGCAATTGTAATATGTTATGCTATCATTGATACTCTCATTGTAATGTTGCATGATGGTAGGGAACCCAAAAAGCAGCGAGGCAGGAGAAGCAGGGTAGACTGAACAAAATGTATTCACAAAAACACTGGAAAAACTAAATCGAAAGCACCCACAAAGTCTTGATCAGATCAAATTCAAAGTAACAACAAAACATCAGGAACTAAAACAACACCACGAGAAACAAAAGATGACTTCAACACAGGCAAACCAACATCACAATAACAAAACAATCCGACCTGGACTGACAGAACCCAGGGGAACTAAATACAGGCAAACTGACGAGACAACAAGGAACACCTGGACAAGACTCAAAGGGTTGCGGGAGCTGATTGGTTGACGCAAGGGACCCGGATGACAGCATGTGAACAAAACCAAACGAGGAAGACATGCACATGAGGAAACAAAACCAAAATGTAATCAAAACAAAAACAGAATCATGACAATCATGAATGTGCAATGAATATATTTTTCATCTGTCGGCAAAAGGGATGGCATGAGTAATGCATTTTGAAATTATTCATCATTTTGAAAGTGGCTGAAAAAAAAAAAATTATATATATATATATATATATATATATATATATATAGAGAGAGAGAGAGAGAGAGAGAGAGAGAGAGAGAGAGAGAGAGAGAGAGAGAGAGAGAGAGATGTGTTGTTTTAAAAGTTTTTCCAAAACATTTGATTTTGAGCAATTTCTCCAGGTTTGGAAACGACTTTCAAATAAGGCATTGATGAGACAAATGTGCCTATAAACTGGTAAGACTGCCAAAAGAAGTTCACACACACACACACACACACACACACACACACACACACACACACACACACACACACACACACACCCTGGACTGGTCGCCAGCCAATCGCAGGGCACATCGACCAAAAGACAGTTTCGGGTCATTAACGAAATTAACATGCATGTTTTCGGAATGCGGGAAGAAGCCGACATACCTGGAGAAAGCCACGACTCTGCGACACTGACTTTTGTATGTTCTTTTAATAGTGAGTGGATGCTGCATCTCTCTTCTGCATGCATTCCTTTGGCGCGGTATTCTCTCTACTTCAACCGCAATGCCGAGCAAAACACAACACAGGAAACCATCACGTGTGACCGACCACATTCCAACACTCTTAAAACTGCTAGGTCAAAAACCACCCAATTGGGGTCAAAATTGGACCGACCCACTAACTTGGATCAATTTGACATAGCTTCTTGGGTTGTTCTTTTTTTTTTTTTTTGCGCAAAACAACCCAAAAGTTGAAACAAATAGACCCCAAATTAGTGGATTGGTTCAAATTTTAACCCAGCAGTTTGGAGTGTGGTAAGTACGTAGTGTGCCACAGCATCCACTTGGATGTAAGCTCATTTGTTAAAAATGACTCCAGCTCATTTGGTATTTCCAGTAAATAAAGAGAGGGGGAAAAAAAAAACAAAACGTTAAACTCCTCTACTATCATCAGAGGTTTCCCGATAAAAGTTAGACGGTTGTGAATGTCAATTTTCTCGTTTTGCTTGATCCAACACAAACCGCACAAAGGAAAGCCTCCCAACTCTTCAGACCCCCCCACCCCCCGCCACTCTCACACAGTGAACAAAGCAGCGGTGTGCCAAGGATTACACTGTAAAATATGCATGTCCCGATGAAATATGCATACAGCCGTGTGTCATCAATGACACGCCTTCTACAAAGGCTAGACCACATAGGCAGGGAACGCTTGTTTCTGTTTCGACTCCCGTGACATTAATGGCTGTAGACATATGAAACGGCTCATCGGTGGGAGTGATTAAGCCTGGCACGGCTGCATTTGTTTTCTACACTCAAGCATTTGTTTGCTTTATTACAGTTAACTCCAAGAATGGGGATAATAGAGCATGCAGCAAACGGGAGGGCTCAGTACCCCAAGCGGCATTGTTTTAGTGTGAAATGCCCCAAATATCTGCGGCAAATAAGAGTGTTTGCCTATGGATGTGAGCCTAATCGACTCAGTCATGGTGGTTTGACGAGGGAATGTTTTCAAGTTTTAACAGGGTCGGTTCCAGCGTTCCACCAGTGATCGAACGGCAGAGAGGCCACTTCTCAGTCACTGAAGGGAAAGAAGGGTATGTGGGTATGTTGACAAAATGCGGAAGCTCTAAAGTCACGATGGACTTCAGCTAAACCTTCCAAAAAAAACATTATGACTCTGTATTTGAATGAGGTCATAGAGTTTGTAAATGTCACAAACAACATACAGTATATGGCAACTATCCAGTCAGTGGCTAGCTAACAATTAGCATGACAAGCTCATGTGAAGTCAGTGGGAATGGAAAGTAAAATATTACTGTCATCAATCTGTGCAAAACATTCTTTAACAGACGCAGAGCATTTAATTCCAGGTGGCTAATACTGGAAGTATACTAGCGACCTAGCCAAGTATCTTTCTTGGTACTTCATGGTAGCTATCGGTATGTATTTTCTTTCAATCACCTTTTCAGAATTACTGCTGCAGAACTATATTTGACACAAGGGGTTCAGATATTCCTAATTCCGATTTTTTTTTTCCTGAACATACAGTAACCCCGGTTTATCAGCATGAAATCTCACCTATGGAGATTTTGGAAACAAAAAGCAGTCTGTTGTTTTGTCTCAAAGTTTGAAACGTCAATTTCCGTAATTATGACTGCAGTACTGTGTTCGTGTAAGTAAGTGATCAAATATGCTACGTTGCGATTTAGCATACACATTTGAGTCACATTATCGACTTAAACCGGGGACCCGTACATTGAAAACATTGCACCAAGACACTCCAATCATGAAACTATCCTTTAATTCAATGGGATTGTGTTTGGGAAAAGACAACAAACATCTGTTGCAGCAGTGTTAACTTTGAGTCGGGTCTTCACAGGCTATTTCCTCCACAAGTGGTGTTATGCCCCATGGTGTAGTCCCAGAATCACCAGGGAGGCCTTTATGCAACCACCCAACTCCATCTGTGTCCTCTGGAACTTGAATCATGACAGGAGGTTATAAATACAGATGTAATTTTCCCCCTTCAAAGGAGACCATTAAAAAAAATGAATAAAAGCAAAGTAAGAAAACAGAGTGACCGCAGCATTTACACAGAGCTGCCACAACAGAGGCCAACGGTGGCCACGCTTACACTTACAACTCTTTTGGCATTAAGGCTTTGAAAAGGCAGTTGAGACTCTCCAAATGCGCGGGCATACACGTCTTTGAAACATTTAAGCATGTCCACATGTATTCATGAGAAGTGCAATAATAAATGGCAACCAGCGCAAGGGGCAGAAAACAAACCCACAGATAGACATAATCCATTACGTCCCATTCTTGTTTATTGACTATACCCGTAAAAAAAAAAAGAAAAAGGAGTGTGTATATCTTATAAGCCATTTTGTGAATTTATTTTTTAGCCGCAGACAATGATGACATGTCCCCTTTAAACAGCCCCCTTCTGCTGCATGTATGACTCAATGATAATTACAGTATTGAGCGTTTTAAAGAGGGCCATAATTACGATAATCTAAGCTTTCATTCTCGGGGAGTTTATGTCCTCCTCCACCTTTCTTTCCTTCTCTCCATCTTTCTTCCCCACTGACAGCTGCGTTTCCCGGGACGTAATTTTTCTCTCTCTCCCTCCCTTCAGACTATAATCTATTGCCATCCTCCCGGTGCTTACATGTAGCTACACGGTGAGTCAGTGCTGTAATTCCATCATTAGCTGGATGATGTGAGTGCTGTCTTTAAAGTGCCAGCTTTGGCGTGACCCCCGCAGGGGCCAGATTGTGGCTTTGACTGATGCCAGTCTATACCCGCCACGCGTCATCTCGGCAATAATGTAATAATAAGCTTTGGGTCCGGCTCTGTTAGGACCTGCCCGGCCTTAAAGGGGGGTCCTGCGGCTATTGATGTGTATGGCAACACATTTTATTGCTTTGGGAAAAAGACAGAGGCGCAGTTTGAAGTTTTCCAAGCTTCAAATTAGCAAATGATGTTGGCACATTTTTAAAGCGAAGCGTTTAAGGCAGATTACATTTATGAACTCATCATGTGCTACGTTGAACCATATGATGCCAAGTCACAGTGGACTGGAACCTCTCAACTTCAAAACCAGCCTTTCGTTTGTTCGCATTTGAAGTAAAAATGTTTTATGAAATCAAATTAACAAGGTCTACAATCAAACCATCATGAAAACATTGACTTACTGCCTGAGTAATGTTTTTCACGCATTTTTTTAACATTCTCAGCAGTCTTACAAGCACCACATCAAATAAAACGAAAACACAATAAATTACGCTTAGCGATATGACACATGTAGAGCCCGCTTCATTTGAAAAAAAAACAAAAAAAAAAAAAAACTAAATTACATTTTGAGTTTCCCAAAGGGGTGAAAATAAATTCACCACTACATATAGTAAGGCATAAAATTAAAATAAAGTAAAATTTTCTCCCTTGGCAACAAAACCGAAGCATAGCGGATGCGAAAAGACGGGGAGTGATAAAGTCAAGTCATCCTCCTGGTGTTGAACTTTCTGAACTGCGATACATGTCTAAAAATAAGTCAGCTTCATAAGCCACATATTATGTATACACAAAGTACAAATGACCTGTAAGACCTTATTTGACATCTCAACAGGATGAACAGTTTATTTCTCATTTCCTTTTGTTTTATTTTACTGTGGCTAACCTCTGTTTACACTTGTGTGCATGACAGTTGGGAATGTTGAAATGTAATGTTCAGAAAAAAAAAAAAAACGCCTGGAGTGTTAATTATGTTATTATGTCGGTGACAGTTTAAGCCTGAAACAAATTAATTAATTACATTTTTCACAACGGGGAGCGGGGGGACAAATAAAAAAACAATGTACTGAGTTCTGCT